TACCACAGCTCTGCCAGCATTTGCTATTGGTTGACTTATTGGTAATAGCTATTTTTGTGGAGATGCAGTCTTAGCATTGTTTCAATTTGTATCTCTTGAATGACCAGCGTTGAACATTTTTTCAAATATTTATTTACCATCTATGCTTCTTCATCTGAGAAGTTTGTATTCATCTCTGATGCCTAGTTTTGGATTGGGTTTTTAATCTAAGTATGTGTGTATGGTCCTCATTTTCCTAAGATCTTTATATATTCTAGGTATTAGTGTTCTGTGTGAGGAACAGCTGGCCAAAATATTTGTTGCTGTTTCCTTTTACTGTGCAAAACTTTTATAGTAAGATGAGATCCCAGTTGAAGATTCTTTGTATATTTCCTGTGAGACTGAGGTTTTTTTCATAAAGTCCTTGCCTAAACCTAGATCTTCCAGAGTTCATGGTAAAAGATAAGGGGTCTTGTTTTAATGTTTGGCATGTCAAATGTCAGTTTTTCCAGGACCATTCACTAAAGAACTTGTCTTTCTTCCACTGAAGGTGCTGGCTCCTTTGTTAAGATAAGGAGGTTTGGAACTGCTTCTTCAACTTCTGTTTTCATTAATCCATTGGTCATTTTTCTCTCCAGGACCATGCGGTTTTTAATCACAGTAGTTTTGTGGTATAATTTCAAGTCTGGGATTGTGATGCCTCCTGCTTTCCCTTGGTTGCCAAGAACTGTATTTACTACTGTAGTGTATCTTTTACCATGTGCTAGACTAAAATAAAAATGGATCAAAGTTCTAAATATAAAACAGAAACACTGCTGCAAGATGGAATAGTTAGAACTCTGGTGCTTTTGTCTTTTACCTATCAAAATATCAGTTAAAAAAAAAGCTGATTAATTTCTTGTATCTTGCTTCAGAAAATCACCTAAGAAATTGTAAGCAGCTATAATTTTAGCATCCCTAAAGAAGAAATGTGTTAAACTGAAATTAAAAACAGCTATCCAGAGAAATGCTGAGACTTCTGCATGAGAAGACAGTGTTTTTGCTAATAAAGAATATTCATTTTCTGCTCAGGTGAGTCTGTGTTTACAAAAAGTGAAGCTGAAATGGTCAAGAAATTCTGAGAAAAGAGCAACACATTATAGAAAAGTAACCCTCTGTTAACAATATAACCCTGTGCCTGCCATGCTGGCCCTGCTCCTGGAGTGCACTGAGATGGCAAATGAGACTAGGTATGGTGGTGCCCGCCTGTAATCCCAGCTCTTGGCAGGCTGTAAACAAGTGGATCACTATGTGTCCAATCTAGTAGTGAGACCCTGAAGGCCTGTAGACCCTATAGACCCTTCTATAAAAAAAAACAACAAAAAACCACAACCCAAAACCCTCCCAAAAACAGTATAGCCATAGATGGTGCAACACAATAATATGTAAAATAAGGAGACCACTTGAAAGTAAACACTATAAAACTGGAAACTGAATAGTCATAGAAAAATCATCTAAGAATATCTATAATTAAGAGTAATAAGAAATAAAGACAATAAAATATGTGTTCATTTGGAATAGGAGCCTTCAAAAAAAAAAAAAAAAGATGGGGCAGATGAGATAGCTCAGCAGACTAAGTGCCTGCTTAGGCAAGCTCAGGGACCAGGGTTCGATTCCTGGCATCACGTGCTGCACTGGCCCTGCCCCCGGGCCCGTGGAGCTGGCCACCGAGACTGGGAGTGGTGGTGCATGCCTGTAATGCCAGTGCTAGGGAGGCTGAAATAAGGAGGATCAGAACAAGTCTGAACTGTATAGTGAGACCCTGTACCAAATACATAAATAAAACAAACAAACAAACAAAAAGATTAACATTAAAAGAAGACTACATACAAAATGCTACAATTTTTCTACAACAGAATTTGTTATTTGTAGGAGTTAAGGTAATTCCTATGTGATTTACTAAATACAACCACAAGGGGAGAGAGTGGGGGAAAGAGTATATCTATGTATGTAAACAGAATGGTTTGGACAAGTGTACTGTGGATTTCTGCTGGCCTATGGAAAGGAACAGATAACATTTAATTTGTTTTTTCTCCTTTTTTTCCAATTGT